CATGTCACCCCAGAGTTTCCAGCAGGATTAACGCTATTGCCTAAATCCAGGTCCTGGACACAATTGTTATGGGACATAACACATTCTCGTCCTTCCTACCTGGTCTACGGGATCAAGAGTGGTTGGCAGACAGCTTTTGCGACCATATCACTTTTAACACGTGACCTCCTCGTGCTCCTGATTTGAATTCCCTGGACTATTCAAACCAGGTTGTAGTCGACAATAGCACAGCCAGCTTCCCCACAAAAAATTAGTTTAAAGCCATCAGCCTGAGACCCACCTATGACGAGTGTGCAGTTTCTCCCGAGATTGAGACCGATTTTATTCGAGGGAATTTAAAGATTATATGAACACAAAAGGGATATTTTACAAAACAACACATTCGATGTATGTTCATCGTAATGAGTTTGACTGTAATTTCGATTTGAAAAAAAAAATGCTGCTTTAATTAAAAGAGAAAGTAATTTACTAAGGTAAATATATATATATATATAGAAAGTGTACTGATTTATGAATCATCCACGGTAAATTTGCGTCTGTGTTCATACAACATTTCACCTTTCTTAACACATCTTCCGTTGTCAAAATAAGGGATATTTAAAAACAATCGCGACAAAAATGAAAAAAAAAAAAAAAATTTGGAAACCAAATGAGATCGACGGAACTCTGCGTCTAGACACGTATTTACCGTTCCTAGATATTCAGCGTTTCCCTATAGTACATAGTTTTAAGCGATGTTTACGTTTATATATCTCCGCCCTCTCTCTCTCTCTCTCTCTGTTATATATATATATATATATATATATATATAGATAGATAGATAGATAGATAGCGAAAGAGAGATAGAGAGTCACCAATAAGAACATTACTTTAGTCCGTTGAAGATTTTTTGGTGTCAAAAAACATTTCTGGCTCAAATGAGCACAAATAGAAATGCCATGTAACAGGAAATATATGTTATTTACAAAAGCAAAATGTAACAGAAAATACAAATCCTGTCTAATAACTATATTGCTAATAACTAAACTATCATTTTGTCAAGTTGAACTTCAAAGCTTTGGTTCAATTTCAGGCTTAAGTCTCCTCTCTTTTCAATGTGCAACAAACTACGTTTCTTTGTGAATGCATCATTTGCTGCAAAATATCTCGCCTCGACCAAGAATGGAATAACATTTCCAAAGAGCAAGGGATGCCACATAAAGTAAAAATGTTTGTGTTTTCATAATAATACGCCAGTGGGAAAAAATAGAATTTCAAATCTCACCTATTTAACTTGGGCCAACTCCAGGCCCATTTTAAAAATGCTTCGCACCCACGTTAAAATCACTGATTTAGAGGACGTGTTACATAGAAAAACAAAAACGGTAATGCAATTGAATGACGAAGTGGAAAAATTCTAAGTTGAACAATATGTATATATTTTTTAAAAGTACACTGTTTCTATTGGATATCATTGTCTTTATATTATAATTTATTTCTCAGTACACTGTACTTTATTGAGTATACTTGCTAATTGAGTTCATTGTATATTTACTTTGGTGCTGATTATTTATGCTCAAGTTATGTAACAAAATAATGCATTTAAAGCAATAATATTTGGAGTAAATGTTTGACATCTTCGGCATATCTGTTTAACTATTGAGCATACATAAAGGGCCACCCAGGAATATTGGTGTGAGGCAAGGGTTAACAAGCTACTTCGGTGGACGATTAACACTGAACAGTGATGGGTAACACATACTTGTCGCCTTATGCTAAAATCAGTAAAATTTTGTAAATCTCTATCTATAAAAGGCAGGATGTGTGTGTGTGTGTGTGTGTGTGTGTAACGAATGCACGGCCGCAATTTTCGACGGATACCAAAATTTACATGCATGCTCCAAGTTAGCGAAAACGCTAAGACCGAACTTTGCATTTCCCAACTCACATCGATAGTGGAAATAATCCTTTTTTCATGCTTCTACGGCAGTTTTCATGTAGTTTGCGGCCATTTTCACTGGCCAGGTGAGAGCCTACAGCTGGCTGCCACGAATAGGCAGGAAGATTCTATTGGCCAGCGTGAGAGCCAACAGCTGATTGACACGAATGTTAACTAGCATGCTCGCATGCAAAAAAAAAAAACGATAGCTGCATTCGTCACAAGTGGGAAAAATTTAAATCTGCATGGCACTTTACTCCAATTGGCTCATTCGCTTGCTTAAACTCAACGTTGATTCTGATTCCGCAGAACTTGGTTGGGTGTGAAAAATATTTGTTGTTAACATTCTTTTTTCATTCGGTTTTTTCAGTTACGAGTCCTTTTTTTAAAGCTGATCGTTTTTGTTTAGTTCTTTTTTCGTAACAGATTTAATTTTTAGTATAGAGCTTGGAAAAAATTCGCAGTGTGAGATAAGCAAGAAGTAAGGCATGTAGCAACATCAGCACGACAAAGGGCACTCCTTTAAAGGTAAGAAGGGCAAAAATATTTTAAGTCAAGTGATAGCGATTGCTGTATGAGTCGTACGATTTTTGAATCAAGCACAGGCAACGCCGGGCCATTCTGCTAGTAACTACGTAAAGGAGACTTCATCGTGGAGCAAAAAAGATTACTGTACCCTCGCTTACCATTATAATGCTCAGGCTTTCAATCCCCACTTTGTGTCGTTGTATGTAATTTAATCTATGCATAGGGTATTTATTTTGTAATATTAAAAAATTGTGGCACATAGCCGAAGGGGGAAAGGGGGTCTTCATTAGCTATCCTCGTCCAACTTAATCCAAATCACGACCCATTCATTCATTAAAATTTACTCATTCACCACAAGAGGTCATCCATCAGCTCTCAACCCTGCACATACCACAATACCACATATCCACAGGGGACCCTACTAAACACCCCACGACATAAAAATTCCAAAGTTTATAAGGTGCAAAAATATATAAAATTTCATGACACATGGAATGATGGAGGGGGTGGGGGATGAACCCAGAAACCAAACTAAAAATGTAACAAAGATAAAAGTAAAAGTAAACAAATGTTAGTTGGACCCACCCACTCCTTCAAAATAATGAGAGTGGCAGCTGTATACGACCGATAGAAAGAATCAAGAAGCACACTCACTAATGGAATCGGATCACTGTACTTGATTTAATCTATGCATAGAATCAACTTCTCATCCTCCTTCCTTGCTACTTTTGATAAATTAAGCCAACTATATATATATATAGCTTGTCTCACTAGATCAGTTACGACTGAAAAGTGAGTTCGATCCTCACTAGGTGTCCCATACTTTCGGCCTTGTGCCATATCTAAGCTACGCTTAGAAAATAACTATATATATATATATATATAGTGAATGATAATATTTTTTGCAAGACGGGAGAGTTCATCATACATAAAATAGGGAGTTACTTTTCAATCACCCTGTGTAACATATCTTAAGTATTAGGTTGGTGCAAAAATAATGACGTAATAATGTCGTTTTTTGACGTATTTTTTAAGGTCAAAAAACGACATTATTACGTCATTATTTTTACACCAACCTAATATATTTATGGGAGTTGTTAAATTTAAAAATTCTGTAAAACTAATGACAATTTTTATAATCCTTATAATCAATTTTACTAATGACAATTTTTATAATCCTTATAATCAATTTTACTAATGACAATTTTTATAATCCTTACATCTGCCACCTTGATAAAGTCCATCAGAAGATGCAATGTGTCGTGTAAGAAAAATTTTCCTTTTGTCTTATATATATATATATATATATATATATATAAGATGCACTATACACATTAAAGAGTTTACAGAGGAAAACAATCCAGGACCTGCTTAGAAAGCTTGGATAAATGGATGGCAGAACATGGTTTTAGGGGAGATAACAAAAATACAAAATTTATTGAGCTGCAAAGGACAGGAAATTGTGAAGAGCCATAATCGCCAACGCCCTGAAAGAAGATTGCACAATGACGGGTCTAGCCGAGAAGTTTTCAGCACCAATCTCATATATATTCGCAAAGTTGCATATGTATATATTCACACTGCAGTTAAATGCAAACATTTGCGCACGGATATTTAAAAACATATGCAAACACATCTATCTGCTTAAAGGCCAATATGTACGCGTACGTATGTCTGTGAGTTTTGTATATTGACGAAAAGAACATACACAAATGAGATTGCTAAACATTTTGTAGAACACGAGCTAAATAATCCTAAGCTCCGTATGATATTTTCATTAATTACAAAGCATTCGCATATTTCCCTGGTGCACACCGACCAACATGAAACAATCAGACGCCGGCCGCGGCGCGCGCTCTCATCTCAGCGTCTTCTTGCGTCCCCTGCAATATGCTCGCCCGGCCTCGGCTGGACGTAGAGTTAAAATTAATGTTGCCGCGCATCAGCAACTCCCTCTCTAGTGATTCAGATCTGAATTAATCTCATCACACTTTGACCCGTTTCCTGACAGTGGTGTGAATCAGCAATATCGAGGCACTTAGAGAATTGTCCGAAAAGATGGAAGCTGGCCATATCAAATATTACTGCACACGCCATCATCATCATCATTTGAGTTTTCGTCGTCCGGTTTGCTTGTGAATATGAAAAGCGGCAGGGTTCGAAGATAATGGTGAGGTGAAGGCGTGTGTTTAAGGTTCTGTGGAAACGTCTCCAAGAAAAGAAAAAAGAAAAATGGAGAAAAATTTGTAAACTGACTGGCTACTTCAGCAACGTGGAGAGGTCGTCATCACCTCATTCTCAAACACATCTTTAATTCTTTTAATCTCTACTACTGTTTTTTTTTTTTTCTTTTCTTTTTTTGTTTGTTATTTTGTTCATACTTTTTTTCTTTCTGCTTTTCTTTCTCTTTTCGATTCTTTCAGTTTTTATTTCCCCGGCATTTTTTTTTTTGACACTTCACGTTCTCCTCCCATTTTATTTTTTTTTAAATTTGCTAATTTTAAACGTTCTTTCAATTTTCTTAATTTCTTTTCGTTTCTGGTTTTTATTTCAGGATTTCAGTCACTCTTTTTTGTTTTTTGTCCCCAACTTAATTGTGTTTTTGTTCTTTTCTTTTTCATTTCCTCTGCCTAATCGTCCTCCCCAATTTCTTTATTACTACCGTCACTCTCATTCCCTTCTGTCAGTCTTTGTAACTTCGCTTTTCGTTCATATTTGTCTACTTTCACAATTTATGGAGCCGTTTCTCCATCGTCCACCTCTTGCGACTATTTCATATTTAATAACATTCATTCGCCGTCTGCGATTTCGTTTTTTCTCTTTCCTAGTTTCAGCAATTTCTCTTTTCAGGTTTTCATTTTCAAACTTCTTCCTCTGTCCATTTTCTTATCTATCTACCAACATTAATACAACAGTTTTCGTTTTCCTGTCCACACAATTTCCCATTTTCAGTTTTCTTTCCAAACAATCGCATCTTTTCATTCTTCCGAATTTAAGTTTTCTTTTATATCGGACATTTTTTTTTTTTGCTTCTCTCTACTCTAGGTTTTTGTTTTCTTTTTCTCTTTCTTCCTACACCATCGTTTTTAATCACCATTTCTTTCGCTAGTCTTTCTTTTTCCTCTCTTCAATACCAGTTGGCGTCTCAATAGCTTTAAAACCAAGTTTGAGAAAAACAGACAGACACCTCACAGACACACATGCTCATACATACCTTGTCGCAAATATGTGTACACAGAAATGGAAATGCTGTTTGAAGAAAAATAAATGAATTTACGCCGCTTCCTTATGGCTTCTGTTCACCCAAGCGACGATTGTATAGAATAGAACAACATCAAAGACTTGGAGAAGTTTATGATTCGTGAAGGAATTTCGACCAATGAACGAAGAAGACGAATCCCAAACTAGAATGAAAAATGGTAGCGACGAAAGAGAGCGGCGGGTATCTAGTTGCAGAATATAGGGTGGGTGACTGGGAAAGTGGTGAATGGGTCGGGGAAGGGCTAATAGAAAATTTGATGGCGTTGGCTTCATTTTATGAATGCTTACAACCAATACAACCTCGATCGACCCTCTCCTTCGTAAATTAGATACCTGTGGAATGAAGATAACAGACCAACAACTATCATTTAGCGAACATGTGTCTCTCAGTAGCTTTGCTTTGAGGCATTTCACATTCAGAGCAGCGAATGTGTGGAGGAGACGTTGAAGAAAGAAAGGGACGGGGGGTGGGGTGAACGGATAGATTGATAGTTATAAACAGACAGATAAATTGAATATAAAAATAAATTCGGAAGGGAGTGCGTGACAACACCCACACACACACACACCCTTTTTTTTTTTTTAGCAAACATTAATTTTTTTACTGTAATAATTACTACCAGTTTTAAGCCGTAAAAATTTCACGGCTCTCCTATTTGAAATTTCTGACGAAACTATTTTTTTTGTTGCTTGTTTAGGGGCATATGAACCTATGGGTTATTTGATGCCGAAATCTAAGTTTGTACGCAATTTTTTAAGGAGAGATAATAATAGTTTTAGTGATACAAGTCTTACTAATTAACCCATATCTAGGGGAGGAAAGAGATGGATTCATATCTTTCCGAAGGAGTGAATATAACGAAGACAGCTGGAATTGGAACTCGGCTCTCCGATTAACAATTCCGAGCTATTATCCATTGCACCACCTGCACATGCAAGGTTACAAAATCTGGTATTCCTAAGCGGTCCTTAATTCTTCAGTTAATGATTGAATAAGCTAATGTCGAGTTCTCCGACAATAACATATCCGTAGAAATTCCCCTATATTTGACTAATAATATGAATTCTGGTCGTTATTTTAAGAAATAAAGAGGTACAAATGAAAAGATTTGGAATTGACAGTTTTTCCATTTCAATGAAACAGACGTTAAATACTCCGTTCTTCTCTTCTTCCTACCATTTTGTCACTGAAACAAAATAGCGTCTTTGTTAAGTCACGCGATCAAAATGGAATAGTCCATTATTTATCAGGTATTATCAGGAGACGTTAAACACTTTCTTTCTTTCACTGAAACCAAGTAGTGTTTTTGATATGTCTTTTGTCTTTCCACGAGATCGAAACGGAATAGTCCATTATTTATGAGGTATTGGCAGGGGGTGACTATCATGCAAACTAACAAATGGAGAGACGAATTCTATTATTATATGATTACTTAGCTTAAGATATTTTTCTTTTCCCTACGTGTCTGATGAAGGCCTAGTCAATGTTGAAACTAGGTATAACAGTTCTGTGACTTAATGATAAATTTATTTCCGTAAAGTTATATATTATGCCGTTTAAATATCTGGGAAGCGTTTTGACAGTGGATGGGAAATGCGACACCGAGAAACGAACAAGCATAGATTAGCGAAAGTAGGCCTCCCAGAAGTTAAGCAAAGTGAGGAGAACAGGAAAAATTCGTTAGGAACAAAGAAAAGAGGGCTTGGTAAACATCAGCGAGTGTTAGACAGTTTCTCTACGGATGAGCAGAGAATAGAGGCAAGAGAAATGTGGTTCTACAGAAGGAAACTGAGAATTTTATGGACAAAGTGAGGAAGCAATGAGAAGTCTTTAAGAAAATGTCCACGAAAAGAACCCGTATGCTCAGAATCATGAAGAGACAGCTAAAATTCCTTGAAAAGAAAATGAAGGCGGGCTTGGAAAACTTAAAACGGGCTTGTGTGAATGGATGTCGGAAGAGAGGCCTTGGAAGTTTGAAAAACTGCTAAAGGTTGGATATATATATATATATATATATATATATATATATATATATATATATATTTATTTAAAATTTCTATGGTAATAAAAAATAAATAAATCTCCATAGACGCTTAACCAGACTAGACGATGTCATCTTCCCTTTAAATTTAGACACTAACCTTACCCTGATTTGACATCTGTGAATATAACAAGAGATATTGATACAAATTATTAACACCTGCCACGCTTTTCTTTTAAACAATTGCTCTGGCTGTTACCATAGAAATTTTGATTTCAATAATGAATATGCTTATAAAACGCGTAAACTTCAGAAATAGGTTATTCCAAAAAAAAAAAAAATTCGCTTGAAGATGGAACAGAGCTTAGTACTTTAATTCAATTTAATTCAAATAATTATATTGAAGTTTTCGGCTCTTGTTTTGAAATATGAGAACTCTTATGTAGCGTGTTGGAATCATATTTTTAAATAAATAATTATATTTATGCTCTACTTTTGTATCGAGCACAATTTTTTTAAAAAAGATAACGAAAATACTAAAGAACTTTGGATTATTTACCTAACGAGTTCTTTCCTATTTTCTATATATTTCACACACACACACACACATATATATATATATATATATATATATATATATATATATAAGGTCATCCCATAAGTTCTGTCCAAAATATTATATATGAAATTTCAATAAAAGATAATAATTTTGAATACAGTATTCAAAAATGTCAAATGATACTGACTGATTTAGACACGAATTTAGAAACCTTTAACAATATAATTTATTTTTACAAAATAATTTGACTGAATTAATTACTCAAATTAGCCCTTCAAAGATGGAGGTTTCAAAGGGTTATTAAAGACACATAATGTTTTATGAGTTTAAAAAAGGGGACACAGTTTATAGAGAAGAATACCTGAATGAAAGAACTTGCCATATTCAGAAGTGGAAATTTCAGCCTTGAAGATGAAGACCGAAAAGAACGTCAGTTGAGTTTAATGATGAGCTCCTTGTGGCATCACTTGAAGAAAATCCCGCAGTATCATTTAAAGAATTGGCAATGAAGATTCGTTCAAGCCATAAAACTGTTCATCGTCATCTTCAACAACTTGGAAAGGTTCCTAAACAAGGAAAATGGGTGCCTCGTGAATTGTCTGAAGTCAACTGCAAAATCTCGAGCTGACATCTGCTCTTCTTTTCATTCTCTTGAACTCATCTGGCCCTTTTTTGGATTGACTTTTGGCCGGTGATGAAAAATGGATTTTTTTATTAAAATGGTAAACATCGTAGACAATGGCTTGGTAATGGAAA